CATGCCTTACCTGTCACTAATTGACCTTGCTCAGATGAGAACTATATCCATTTCCCTGGGTAAATTGAATTGAATTGGTTAGACATTGTTACTAATAGTTAAAGTTACCCCCATCCCACAGCGCAATTCACATCACTAGTGTTTAGCCTTATTACCTCTCAGTTTAGAATATACCACAAATGGTTTCATAATGGGAACACACGACAGTCATACCATCACATCGAACCAACATAGTTCAGACTGTGTTCCCAAAGGGAAATGGATACTGATTTTTCTCAGAATGATGCTATGGTTCTTTCATCCTGTTTGGCTTTTAATGTCACCGCCTTTTTACTTGTCTGCTTTCTCATTTGTCAGCAAAACACAACACTAGATCCCACATTAGCCATGTATTATCATGCAGTACCATTGATTAGCTCTAGGTGGCATTGTATATACAGTAGATGTAATGTAGCTTTGTGAATGATGTTGCTGCAACCTGTTGGGGTTTACTGGACCAAGTAAAAGGTATTTATCAAGTCTCAGAGCAGGAGTGCTGTTGGACATGGAGCTGCCTGGGCCACAATAATACGAGTGATGTGATTCATGTTCCCCCCCCCTCCTACTCTGAGGTTACTTGATGAATACCATCCCCATGATGTATTGATTGAATAATTATGGATGTTAAAAAAAAAGAAAACAGACTTGTCTGCTTAAGAAAAGATTTTGCGAAACAACAAATGTAAAAGTTTGACATTTTAGGAAGGGTTTTATAATCTTTATCCCTGAAAAGGTTGTGTGAGTTTTTATTTTACCTGCGTTCCATCATGGCTGTGTAAAAAAAAATATTGTAAGAAACCGTCCTTTGCATTTGCTTCTAGCTAATTGGCTGCTACTGTCATCCTAAAACCATCATGATAAAGATAAACGAAGAGAACGAAGGAAGGGTAAAAAACAAACAAAAAAACAACCTGATCACAAGAAGTACGAAACATGCAACTGTCTCTGCAGCCCATCTGCAACTTTTAACTATGAGCTTTTGCAATTGAGGGAAACAAGGAAAACCAGATGCAATTAAATGAATACGCAACAAATATCTGCTTTCAGATAACAGCACTTCACCTTGCTTTACTTTTTCATTCCTAACAAACTGGGCTCTGATTTTAAGACAAGAGGAATATCATCATTCCTTTGTCCCCCCCAACAAAGTCCCTTTAATGTAATCCTGACCAATAGTTATTTATCACCAGCCTGATTATATCTAGGGCCTAAGTGAGTTGACCTGAAACACTCTGATGCTGTTGGGGGGCCTTAGAGCCTTTTATGTCTGTGCTGTTTTTTGACAAGGCAGAGGATTGCCGGAAGCTTTTTCTTCACTGTCCCACTGTGGGGGAGGGAGGGGAGGAGATCGTGTTTTTTTATTTGACAGTGGTAGGGCAGACTCTGAGGCAGGCACGAGTAGTGGTTGTTGTATTTATGTTAGTTTTGACAACCTTTGTTATTGTTTTTACGTTGTTTCTTTTTTACTGTTGTATCAAAATCCAGAGATGGCAGGTCAAAACTAAGGTGTGTTGTGGAGGTATGATTTGTTTCCTGAATAAACATGAGTTGCAACTGACTGACTGAAATATCTAATTTACATTATTACATTTAACAACAAGGCATATGCACTAAGGGTGGACATACGAAAATAACAGTAGGGCTGTCATCCAAAAAAGAACCCATTATTCAAAAAACACTCATACAAATGTGTCGATATCAATTTCTTGATTTAATCCATATGTGTTATCTCTCCATAAATAACCATGTGAAAGCACTACATAAATCTTATATACAGTATGTGCTCATAAGTGTCCTGGAAATAAGACATTTAAATGAATCCATCGAATTTTAGAATACCTTTTTAAACTAACGATTAATTTGCAGACGCAGCCGTGAAAATGTAAGTGAATACACTATAAACACCATCTAGGCTGAATAACTTGACATATAAAACCTAATTGTAATATTTTCAATAAACCAGAATTGCATAAAACCCCAGGGTACTATGAATCTTTATCAACATCCTTTACTTATTTATACGCCTAAAGTTTCCACTTATTGGGCTCTATATCTCTCTTCATATTTGTATGATGAATTGTCAATTTATTCAGACAATGAGTTACTGACAGAAATATCCACATGAAATGTTGAATCAGCAGAATGTGCAATATAAGCAACATCATGCTTTATTTAAAAGCTCTGACACATCCATAATCTCAGGGACAATTGACCTCATATGTCCCAGCCACAGGGTTGTCAAAATTAGGGTGACCATGCAAGATGTATCTGTATTTTAATAGACAAGTAAAATAAGAACATTCTTTAAAATAAACACTGGGTCATTGACTCCTTTTTGCTGCATTAAATAACATTAGCTAAAGTGTAGTATTGCTATGTTGATGCAATCCATATTTTGGCCACTATGGTCAGCATTGAGCTAGACATTCACTGCTTCAGAAAAACTTAAAGGAGACCTATCATGCAAAATGCACTTTTGTACGTCTTTTATACATGAATATGTGTCCCCGGTGTTCCAGGGAACTCACCAAGTGTCAGAAAACACAACCCTCTCTATTTTCCTCCATACCCAATCTCTAAAAAAGGGGCTGCAACGGATCTGATAAAAACTGATCGAGATTTGAACACTGTCCTGACGTCAGGACGGTGGGCGCTACGGCTATTGGGCCAACTCCACCAATCAGGAGGAGACAGCCACGGCCATTGCCGTTCGAAAGCGCTGGAGACGCTGTAGTACATATGCCAGGCCTGTAGGTGGTGCTGTTCTCACAGAATCAGCCCTTGCAAAAACACGGCTAAAAAAGTGCAAATTAAGCGAAATGAGGCATGGCTAAAATGCATGATCTGTTTGGTATTTTGAAAAAAAAAAAGTATAAATATGCCTTATATAGGTATGGTCCTACACTATATTATTAAAATATAGCATGATAGGTCCACTTTAAGTAGTGATAGTTTTACACCTCATTGGTACGTGGTTGAATCACATTTAAACATTTTGTCCAATAAGCCACTTTATTTGCCTCCCTCAGGAAGCCCTACAGGATTGTGCTACTTATAACAGTCCTGAAAACTAGCTCAACCTAAATAAGCTAGTTTATTTGGTAGTGTTAGCTAACTAAAATCACATTAGCACACATCTACTAGCAAACAATTTCCTCCGACTGAGGAATTCGACTTCAAGGTAATTGCATTCATTTTGTGACATGTATTGTTTTAATTTGTCAAAAACAACATTCATGCCAATAATCATAAACCTTTCAAAAACAGTTTGACGATTACAGAGTTCTTGGATTAGGAAGATAGTCTACCAACATTGTCATGGCTTGGCGTTTGCCCTGTTGATAGTGTTAAATTGACACTTTTCCTTGGATAAGTTTTAATTTGAAATTATTCATAAAACACTTCCTGCTGTTGCTGTTTAACAATACAAAGCTTAGGCCTTCTTGTGCAAAGCCTCTTCGGCCTACTGTAGCTTTTGTGAACATAATTATCAATTAATAAATGTTCTGGGTATAAAAGAACAGTAAGGTTAAGGTTATTTTTGCCAACATTTCAGGAAGAAATTTCAAAAGAACCTAGTGTGAAGATACAAGATGAAGCTGTGTTCAAACACATACTTATGGCAGTTTGGGTGAAGGCCAAAACAGCAGTTCACAAAGGTAAGTCACATGTCTTACCTTTTCCTGTTGTATGGATAGTCATTAGGGCTGAGATGGGAGAGGGATCAGATTTGTCACGAGATGTTATTGTCGTATCTGAACTATGTATATCTTTCAATATACTGGTAAGAAAGGGTGTACATTTTAAAACAAATAAATGTACGACAATCCTGTGTGGTCTAATGACTAATGTATCCACTCAGTCCTTTTGTGTTTCTTAGTAGTGGGAGTTACACACAGTGTGGTCCAACAGTAAAACTGCTGCAAGGTCCCTCAGGCATTGTTCAATGTTGAATAGAAATTTGATGACAATAATGACCATATGTCATCCTGTCAGATCGCAGAGTGGACAACCGGTAAATGCAGACTATATCTGGATGAAGAGATGAGTCAGCAACTTTATTATAAACAGTGATGTGTGCGTGTCGATTACTTGTTGGCATTGGTTACAGAATGAGAGTGTATGACTGTTATGAGAAACATTTTCAGGAGAGGATAAGTGTATAGGCTATGTATGTATGTGTGTGAAGCAAATGTATATCAGAATATATTAACTTTCATGTGATAAACCAAGGTTTGCTGCTTTTATCTGTTGTGATTCTAAGCAGAATGGGGACGCTTATCAACTGGAGTCACCCCTCAGATCAGATATTCATGTGGAAATGTGCTGCCTCATCACAGCCCACTGTGTCTAAAAGAGGACTTTGCCTTCTAGATGACCTAAGTAAGTGATGGACGAAAATCGGTTGTGTGTGTGTGTGTGTGAAAGAGAGAATAGGAAAAGCATATGGTGCGTATCTGATGCTGAGCGTGCATTATCCAGGAATGCCCTTGGACATATTGGAAAAGAGAGTGCTTTCTAACCCTTTGCTAAATTAGAACCAATTACATTTGAAGATAAGCCACTAAAGTTGAAGATTAAACATCATTTTTGTTTCCATTTTTATTCACTTGTATTTAGAATGTGTTCAATGCTCGTCTTTGAGGCTTACTTACAAATTCACTATGGATTGGTATACCTACTTCTTTATGATACTAACTGTAGTACTCTTTAATAGCCTTTGGGGGGCAGCATTATCTTAAAGATAGTGGTGAGCAACCAACACAAGCAGTAAATCCACATTTCTTTGAGCCTCATTCGACATATTTTCTCTTTTTACACCCTTTCACTATTCTTGATTTTGATGAAAAATGGTATATCAGTGATGTCATCCTTTGTTCAATTTGACTTGTAATCGTTGTTCAATATAATATGATCATTCAAAAAGACATGAAGTGAAATAAAGCACAAGGCATAGTCAGTTTGTTTCAGAAAAAGAAAGTTGTTATTTAAGGCACACCTTAATAGTTTGCAACTCCATCACATTTGAATACAATAAACACACAGTGACAACTGAAGGACAACACAACCTTAATAGGAATGAGATTCACAGGTGTGGAGCAAAGCTGTTCCCAGACTTTTTTTTAGATAGGCAAGTTTTGTTGAAAAATTGTTTTACTTAGGTCAATACTATTTCTATTAAATTATTATTTTATACTTAGATTTTTTGGAAGGGTTGAATCTGTCACATCATTTGATTTTCGCAATGACCCCATCCGATCGATTCCTGTTACATAACAAAAAGTAAGATAATTATTCCCAAATAAAATACCCCAAGAATCTCGGATCACTCCATCTGTTATCCTATCTCACTATATTTAACATCTTATACAAGACCTTAATTTTGGATCTGTAAAATGACATCAATGACAACAACAACATCAACAACAACAATACACAGTTTAGTCAAAACATTGTACTAATTCTCAATAGAAAAGTGCCAACAGTAATGAATTGAATAGAGTGAAATATGTTTGAAATATAATCAAGTATTAGAATTGAAGGATTGAGTTGTATTGCAGATAGATAAATCAGACTCAATAGAATGACTAGACATTTGTAGAAATCACATTTACTTACTGATTGTGAAAAAGCTCAGGTTTGTACGACTTAGCTACTTACACATAGTTTTAGGGATCAAACTGTGTGCCATATCTATGGTATAAGGCTTCCCTCTGAAAGCTTCAGGGGCAGGTTTGGTTTGTCGGACATTGTTTTAGCCTGGGGTATTATTTGTTTCTGTCAATGTTTTCTTATTTACCACTTTGAATGTGAAAATCTAAATTAAGATTTTTCTCCCGCCGTTATCCAGCTGGTGCTAAATTTCCTGTTTTATACCATCTGCACAACAATATTGTCACAGAATGTATTCTTCTATTAATTGCAAATACAAATGTACAGGCTTATCCGGGGGTACATGTAATTGGTTGTATTCAACACAAAAGAGGAAGGACATAGACACATTATTTGACAACAATTTCAATGCAGACAGTGACTGAAAAATAAATGTTATCTAGGTCTCAGCTTAATCCATGTCTATAAAAAACATCCCTAAGGGAATAAGTAGTCACTCACAGCTTTAGATTTTTTTTGTCTCTCTGTGCATAAATGCTACAGTTGATGAAGAAGCATGTGCAAAGCAAGGTTCAGTGCAGAACATATAACATCTACCAGTTACCTTTTCTACGTTTTCATAGCGATAAACCTTTATTTGGAGACGCCGCTGGTCATTTGCAAATTGAGGCAAAGCTTAGCCAACGATGTCAGTGTTTTTAAAGAGTTTAAAACCTCTTTTACAAAATAAATTATCGAAAGGTCCAGTCGTTGCGCCCAGAGCTTTCAACCACATCTGATGGCTTACACTTCATATAGACTTCCAAGGTCAAGAATAGACCTTCAAGGTTAAAGCTACAATCACCATTGTGTTACCTTATTCAGCGATATATTTTGACTTAACAGACGTTTGTTTGAATGAAAATGTTTGAGATTATTTTATGTTAACTGCATTTCAAATTTCAGCATATTAAAGTGAATTCGACCTGTAGCAGGTTTTGCTGATATCTGCAGCTGATGGAGCTGGGACATTGTACCAATGTTGCAGTCCTACCATCTTTTCTAAGCTTTACTAGCAAAGCTAAGCACAATGACCACTACAACCGTGTCTCTGCTGATAAAGTGAGCCATTCAGGCTCAAGCCTACAGTTCAACTCTTCATTTTCAATAAGATGAATCTGTGGTTGCTCTGTTAAAAAGAAAGGCCTCATTTGACCTTATTGACCTCTCTGTTTTAAACGTTGTACTAGTTTCATGCTCGGATCTCAAGTCCTGTAAATAACAAGGGAAAAAGCTGTCAAAGTGTTTGTTTTTCAATATAGGTTGCCAACCCAGTTCCTTATGCCAATTCTTATTAGGTTCAAGTAGCACTGGGAAACCATTGTTGTTTAAATAACTATTATTAACCAGCATATGCACTGCTGATATTACAAATCTGAGTGTCACACCCAAGGAAGCAGCAGCTTGGGCAGGTGTGCCATTGTCTCCTTTTTTTTTGACAGGGCAGTGACTTCCTTTTCACTTCAGCACAGCACCCAGAGTTGATGTTGAGCAGGCCTCAGAGCACCAGAGTGATGTTAGGGAGCAGGATATGAGCGACACTCTGCTGAGAGCCCATTTCTCTCCTGCAGTTCTTGATGCGTTTTCTTTGTGGGTGAACAGTGAAGCACAAGCATTCTTGTTTGTGAAGCGATGCAGTGGTGCAGGAACATTGAAGGACGGCCTGTGAGTGCCTGTGCTGATAGAACATAGGTGGCAATTGCTGATCTACAAGCTGTGGGAAGGTGCAGGTGATAAGGGACTACGTAGGGGTCTCAGGTCTTGAGACCTATCCTGATAAGAAGGCCACCGGCTCCACATTGTTGTTCTGTCCATCCTCTATTGCCTTGTTCTTCTCAGTCATTGTCAGCTCAGAGGAGTCTGAGTCCACGGCTTTCTTTGACCTATTGCGTAAAGAACATCGTCATTAAAACACGTGATTTTTTTTATTCTAGCATTTTAATTTATCCTTTGGCCTGGGATAGGCAAAGATAGTGGTTAGTATTAGACATATTTTTTTTACCTTTTCCAAATACTTGTGTTAGCTAAAGATAGCCGTTTAACTGTCATGACATTTGACCTACTTTTTATTGTTAAGCTATTACTTTAAAGTGGCAAAAAAGGGACAAAAGTAAAGTACCCAAATCTTGCTTCCCAACTTCCCAACTGAACTTATTTCCATAACCTTGAGGATCTACTTGGTATGGCTTTGGTGTCTCCTCTGTTTAAACATTTCCTCATGCAAATCAACAGTGTTATATCCTTAATTTGACCGTTTTTGGATTAACTTCCAGAAACTCTACCAGTTGCAGAGTTTCTGCTTTAATCACACACCCACATACATGTGCCGGATCTTATGCCACACTTATCTAAATCCAATCAAAAAACAACATAAAGTTATATAAACCCTATCAAACATAGTATTAATTCAATAATATATATAGTAGATTATATATTCCTTTGATTTAAAAAAAATGTATCACAGTTGTTTTGGGTTTCACAACAAAGAAAGTTGAAACGTTAAGTTAAGACTACAATGCCAACTAATCAAAATGCAGAGTATTGTGGGAAATGGAGGTTCCTTACTTTTCTCTGTTGAAGATAATGAAGTCTCTCTGGACATTATCCAATCTCTGTTGCAACTGACCGTTCTGGAGGAGAGACAAACACAAAACATCAGCAACTCAATGATCAATGCTGTAAATAAAAATTAAAAAAAACACACATTCTGGGCTGATTATTCGTCATTATTGTACTCGGCTACAATCTCTGAATCATTTACATTGAATCTAAAAATAAAAACTCCTGGCGAAAGCGGTTAGTGAATAAAAGCTTTGTCTTACAGGCAGTAGACTGTACACACTTCTTTCCTTATATGACTCTTTTGTTATTTAAAAAAGAATAAAGCTTCATGCATTCACACGTGTTTGGCCCATTTGTTCATGAGAGAACATCCAGCTCTGTCATGCCAGTGTGTCCTCACACTGCTGAAGTGCCAAGACAAGTACACAGGTGCTTTCTCACTTTCCCAAGGAGACAGTGAGGAGAGGATCATTGACATACATCATCATTATGACACTGTACTGTGTGTGTGTCTGACAGAGACAAACCAGCAGAGACTCAAGAACACAAAAAGAGAAAATGAACAAAACAGTTCTTTGATTTTCTTGTGCAGATAACGATTAACCATACTTTGTGTTTACATCTTATACTAACCTAAATGAGGTACAACTGTAACATTTAAACTCCAAATCGGACACTTGGGCCCTCCATATGCTTCACTAAGGGCATCCAAGGGCATTCTCCTTATCCTCAAGGAAAATGGTCACATGCAAACGCAAACACACATGGCTCATTATGCTGCTTCCCGAAACACCCCTCCAGTTAGATTGGCACTCAAAACTCCAAGTTCCTGGAAAGCTCTTCAGGAGGCTGACTTCCTTTCAGAGCAGTCAGTCACTCAGAGAGAGGCTGTGTACAGGTGCTGTCACAGTGGGGGGCAGACACTGGCAGACCAGAAGCCATAAACCCAATTAGGGCAGGAGAAAAAAAAGAGAGAGTGAACTGTGAGAAGTAAATGTAAAGAACAGGAGGTGTAGACTGAGTTGTCTAATAGTTTTGCATGCATGAAGTAAGAGTTTTCCCGTGGGTTCCCGGTTGATGGACCCTTTCACAGCAGTGTCACACAGGACAATTACACATTTGTATGGACACTGTAGCAACACACTACAACTACACAACCACTAGACACTTAGTCAAGGACAGGGAGATCAGGCTGTCCTTGAGTGTGGGGGATGAAGACTACCGGAAGGTCAAAAAACAACAACAGGCAGACAGAGACAGAGGAGGACTACTATATATCATTTGTCAAACCTTAGTGATAGATGTGATACATAAGCTGTATGGCGAATGAGAGAAATGGTCTGATTTCTCACTGACGGGGTCATAATGATATATTCTTTGATGGAACCTGATGAAAAAAAGAAAAAATACCACCATTGTCTAACCTTTCCCTATAGACCAGTTCATTTTAAAAGCCAATCTGGCTTCCTGTCACTTCCCTCCAGACTTCAGTAAATTAACTATTTTTTAACCTGCATGCCAGCTAAACAATAAAGGGTATTTCTTTTTATAAAAGGGCCTAAAATAAAGAAGAGGTGAGGGAAGAAAAGAAGGAAGGTGATGATGATGATGAAGAAAATAAGGAAGTAAACAAGAAACCAAATAAAGAAGGACTTAAGGAATGGAAAACAGGAAGCAATCAAGGACTTAAAAAAAAGCAAGAAGGAAAGGAAGGACACAAATAAGATAGGAGTGGGACTAGGAAGCAATGAGTAAAAATAACAAAAGAGGTGAGAAAGACATTAAAGGTCTTTTTTATTCCTGATATTTCCTATGATATTCCTTCCTTGTTTCATTACCTTATTTGTTGCTTTCCTGGAATAGAGGGATACAACTAGCCGAGAGATGTTGCATAAAAAACAAGTTATTCCTCACTTGTTCCTCCCCCTCTCTCTCTTTCCATTTCCAGCCTTTAAAAGGCAGTTCAGAAGCTAATTGCTTCAGCTGCGTGATTAAACTTTCCATTTAATGAGACAAACCAACAGGGAGTGCTCTGCTGGACGGAAGCCTAACAGGGACATTTCCCATTGTCGTTATCTTCGCTTTCTGCCCAAACTTAGGATCAGCTTTTGTTGTATTGTGACATCTGAAAATGATTGTAGGGGATGAAGAATTACATGTGGTATTTAAACAATCTATATTACATCTCCAGCTGATCCTGTCACAAATTTGAGCCACAATTGTGACTTCTTCTGGTGATATTTCAGCATTTAGAACAAAAACAAAAACAAGCTCTGACTTATTTTCTTTAAAAAGTGGCACACATGGATCTGTACTGTACATACAGCAGCTGGAAACACCCTAACAATAACTGTATACAACAATGACGCAGCACACTCAAAACATCATAGCAACATCCCAGTGAGACACCAGCTACACCTAATCCAAGCAAGTAGTCCTTAACCTTTATTAGAAGAATTAGAAATTATAAACATTTGCATTATTATTGTTATTAGTATTATGGTCATATCTGCTCTTAAAGGTAGGGTAGGTAATTTTGGAGAAACCAGCTCGAGATCGCTAGAATTTGAAAATACACAACCGGAAAAAATCTGCCACTTCCTTATAGAGCCCCTCCTCCAACACACACGAACGCGCACATGACCAATGAGGGCACGAGATAAGTTTGTGCACAGATGGAAGGCTGACAGGCAGGTAGGCCATCCAGTTATTTTAGCCGGGCCGGCTAAAATGATTGGTCGTGCTTTTTACAGTATTACGGCTTCCACAGATGACATTTTTTTATGGATTTTTTGTCAAAGCACTTAAGATATTCATTGCTATCGGGATGTTAAGAGCATTCCATGGAATATAACAAAAAGTGTATCTCGAGCCGGTTTCTCAAACTTACCTTTAACTGCTCTGATATGCAAACATATTTTTACTAACCCTAACTTTTGACAAAAAAGAAAAATCTAAATCCTCTCCATTGCCTCTCTTGAGTTTACATTTTGAATAGTAGGGTCATTGAGATGGCTATACTTGGAATTCCATAAACATCTACAGCAACTTGTCAACAGCCTTATGGAAGGAGTGTAAGACAAGGCGAGTGTATTTATTTTAAGGATAAGAGAAGAGAAATAAGGTTGGAGAGCAGGGGAGGAATGCACAAAGAATGGAGAGCAGCCTTAGGGTAATGAGTGAAAGATGCCCGGGACAGGCATTAGGGCAACTGGCTGACTTCATTCAATATTGATCTGCTATGCTTCATAAATGCTGCACATCTCCTGCCCTCTTTCTCATGCATGCATGGACAAAGACATACAATATCACTATGTTTCTTAGCCTCTCTCTTACTTGCACCCATCACAAGTGGCCCCACTGGTACCTTTGTAAAAGGATATTGAAAACAAACCAAAAAACTCACATTTACTACACAGACATTGAAGAGAATATTATCCCAGACAGACCAGGGATGCCAAATATCACTAGTTGGAATGAATAATATGCACATTAAACAATGTTGAAAGGACATTTCAGTACTAAATGTATATATTTGAGTTAATTTTCCCTCTAATAAGTGAAGGAGTGAAGCGTCATTTAGCTAATTAGCTTGGTGCCATTCACTGGGATTTGAACATGCGTTCCAATACTCAACACATTGCTTTACTAAACAATTACTGACCTTTCCGAGAAAACATAACAACATTAATATTTCTTGTAATGAGTCTCATATAGTCATTTATTGTCAGAAATAATTGAATGGAGTTGCTTTCTCCGTTGTCATGTGAAAGACCTGTACAGCTGAATAACATTAACCCTGGTTGCAACTAAAACTGCATAAATCAAACATTGCCTTGAATAAGGTGATTTAATTAGGAAATGCAAGACAAAAGAGTGGAACGCCATTTCATTGATTTAATGTTAGAATCCTTTAGTCTGACCATACCCTGTTCCAATACTTCATCCGTGTCCATAAAAATAAATGTTTCCCTGAAAGGTTACAATCATTATTTCATTAGAATAGAGACCTTCTCTTTGTCTGAACGGGCGTGGGGATGACGAATGTTGCTTGGCTGCACAGTAAGATATCACTGATATAAACACACAGGCAGGTCTCCACAAGCAGCTGTCAGCCTTCATAAAACATGGCACACTTTGGGCCAGTGCTGAATTCTTACTGCAAGCTGTCTAGACAGCACAAATTGCTTTACTTCTATTAGAAAACAGTCCCATAAACTGTTGTAATGTGCCATCGAGTGGGAGAGGGTCCAAACTTATTAACTTTGTAATGACATAGGTTGTATATGCAATAGGTTAGGTTGTGTGCAGAGATTTAATGTATGTGTGAAGTGCCAATGGTGGGGCAAAATGTTGTTGGATAGCAGGCAGACACTCACAATAGCACAAATACTGATAAAGCACACAAATGAAACCATGATCTGTTTGTTTCTTATCACTGCCGGATCTCTGAGCTCTCTCTGTCTCCATGGAAAATAAGATTTAAAATTGGACAGGAGCCCAGAAGTCAGGGTGGTTCTTCCCCGCTGTAACAATCAATGGACTCCTGTACTGTAAATACATTTCTTCTGATAAACAAACCTGACTTTCTGTTTTAAAGGTTCGTTTCTGGAATCAGTCTTGGGCAAGGTAATAAGGCATGAGCATTTAAAGCTGTTAAGTAAGTCATTGTATAAGAGAATGACTATTGAATGGACAGGTGGTGAAACAACTCTCTGTACTAGTTCTTGACTAGGTAGAGCAGGTCTACCAGTAATTGGGAGATCGGCTGATCAATCCCAGGCTCCTTAAGTTTGCATGTGTAGTTTTTTTGAGAAAGATACTAGACCCCAAACTTGCTACTGAAGTCTGTCATTGGTGTTTCCATGTGTGTCTAAATGAGCATAACATAAGATGTGCATTTTACGAATGTGTGAACATCTAGTGTAAAGGCAGTTTTAGTTGTCGAAAGACTGAAAAGCTAGAGTAAAGACTTATATGGCAATGGTCAAACCATTTATCATAGTTGTGACAAATGAAGATGTCCCATCAAGACACCCATTGCAGATAATCTTCCCCTAAAATATTTTGTTTCAGCGAACCAGTTTTGGATATACCCCAAGAAGAACTCCTTGCAAAATAACTTGACAACTCAACCTTTCTTGTTGCACAGAAAGGTTTTTTGGTTTTCCTCCAAGCTTTTAAGAAGGTAAACACAGATGACTTGAGTTCTTTTGAGGTGCAGTTATCCTTGAAACAAGAATGACAGCACTGATCAGGTCCCACTACTGCACTAAAACAAAAATGAAATCACTACAGCATAACTGCTTTCACTATGACAGTGTTTATGAGTGTTTATGTGTGTGTGTGTGTGTGTGTGTGTGTGTGTGTGTGTGTGTGTGTGTGTGTGTGTGTGTGTTTTTCCGTCCTTCATCGCACTTGGCCGGGTGATCAAATTAACCTTTCAGTGATTTCCTCTCTGTTTTGTATAAACACCCAGACAGCTGATTTATGTGGATGGGGGGGGGGAAAGACTCCAGCTAGGAGATTGCATTCTTTGCCTTCCCCATACACACATCAGGTAGGTGGCCCATTTATTCTGATGAAGGTGAGGCAGGACAGAGCTCTAAAATGTGTCCTTAACGTTCTTAATAGCACCCCAGACCCATTTGAAAGACAAACTGAGGAGACACTTGTCACCCTTAACTGGGTCAAATGGAACCAGCGTTCAGCTTTCTCCAAATGAATGATCACGAGCACTGAGAGGGAGAGACACCTTTTTAAAAGGCATATGTGATCCACAGAGGACAGGATAAACATCATAAATTGTGTTTAAATTAAGATATAACATGCACAAGAACACTGGGGAATATTGGCGGGGAAAAAAATGCATAGTAGCCAAATTATTAGCCAAATTATAAATTATGTAAAATCAAAACCTAGGTCAAGTTTTCCAATGTCTTTTGAACAGTATTTGTTACCCAATCAAGTGTCAGGTGTCTTTATTTGGAACAAACCATTTCAGCTGTACTGAATTACTGATTTTAGTGTTTCTAGTTGAACGCCTTATGTTAGGAAAAATATCACTCGTCACCGGCTTGGTCTTCAATATCAGGATACATGTATTTATTATCCTTGCAAGAATGGAAGTAGTCATCACACACAGAGCTGCGTGGTAAAACTAGTTCCCAGAAAAGTGTCCTTGACATGCATATACAAGAGAGGGTGTTACACAGTCACACGATGGAGAATACCGGTTCAAAGCAGTATTCAATGTTTAGTTCAGATTGGCTAAGGCCTGCGTAAGCAATAAACATGACAGTCATATGTCTAACTCCATAGAGGCGGAATCATCATGTTAATGGTTGTCACATAGCTATCATGCCTACAACAGTGTGTTCTGACGCTCTTCTACTGTAGGTAATCATACATCCTGTTACGTACACAGCTACGTAGGGCCTTTGTTATCATGTGCTACTCTGATATTAGAAGAGAACATTCAGCATTTTCCCAACACCTTACCTGTGGGGAGCCATCAGATCCCTGGTCCTTGGTTTTTCTAGCAAGCCTTTTCTTCTTCTTGTGAAGTGGTTTGGACTCCAGGATCATTTCCTCCAGCTCAAATGTGGGGTCACAGTTTAATCTCCGCCTCTACAGAAACACAGAACCATGCAGGCAGACATTAAAACCAACAACCAACAGATCAATGGGTCCGAATATTGAATCGCATTAAAATGTAAAGACAAACTCTAAATGCCAACATATTTCAATGACGGTTATTATAACTGTGTTTCTGCAGTGCACTTACTTGTCAATAAGTCAGTATATGAACTATGACTGTAAAGTGCATTTCATTTTGCTCGGGTATTCTGTTAAAGTAATAGGATCATTGTTTCTGAAAATACACACTGTTGACATTGACAGCAGCCATTTTAAGTGCTTTAATGAGCTGTTTATTGCTTACATTTGTCTTACAGAAGTGTGTACAAGATGTATGCTTACTGTATGTGATCAAAACAAAGGGAATACAGAATAATGTAAGTGCCCCTTTTAATTCTCCAAAAAGGACAAGGCTCAAGCAGGTCAAATCAGACTTAATGCTGGGAAGTTAGGAGACACAGCATCAGGAGAGAGTTCTCCCTTTCTGTTCCGGCATTATAATAGTCTATAAAGGACTAAAGACAGAGGATAGGCCTATAATTAGATAGACACTGTCAATTCCCTATCGATCCTCTGTACTGTTCGTCTGATGTGCCAGCCTGCCCGCTAGGGATGTCCGCTGCTCTGCACAGTCACAGTACTCTCAAAATGTGATACATTCATTTAGTCATCTTTTCCTTTTCAGAGTCATTATTCTGCACGTATTCAACCCTGGCACTAAAGAGTGACAGTTATGGTCACCTTGCTGCTTCACTAAAACAATTCCGTTTTTGTATTGCTCGATCATTGCTATAATTATCAGTCAGTAAAGTAATCTTCCAATCGAAACTCTGTTTTTTGGGGGTTTTGAAATGTAGGTTGATAAAAACAAGATCCAAGATGTTATTTTACACTTAAGGAAACTGTGATGGGCACTTTATAGTACAAACTGTTTTTTTATTAGTCAAGAAAACATTTGGTAGATTGTAAGTATAATCATTAGATGGAGGCATAGCCATAATGACTTTATCTGCTATAATGAATATCTGTGCCCATAATTAAGGAACATTGGTTAGCTCCATGGATACAGTATTTCAAAGGAGGTATACATGCGGGGTGATTCAGTACTCCAGTGACATTTGCATTTTTTGTTTATTTCTTATGGCAGTTGTTAAACTGATTGAAATGAACTGGCCTTTTTACTGGTGTAACCTTTCATTCAGATGTTGTGTCACACCTTCAGAGTCTGCACAGTTACCAGCTTTAACTGGGGACATTTAATCAGTGCAGCTAATTTAAAGAGCTGACACTACAGAGAAAGCCCAGCCGAGCAGCTACACTCACAGCATGTTGATGTATCGGGCAAACACTATCTTCCCCTTACTCGTCATAACAATCCAGAGACCGACCGCAGAGCTGCAGGTAGACATGCAGAGGCTTTCTCTGAGGCGTGTGGCTGTGTTTTTTATTTGTCTTTGTCTCTGAAACTGGATGTTTACACACTCAGTGGGAGATCTACCTAAGCCCAGCAGAGGGGGATGTCTACAGCCCAAATAGAACATATTAGATGGGGAGTGAGTAGCTCTGGCGTCTTCAAATTCTGAAATATATATAAATGAAAAAGAAAATCATGCCTTCATAGTCAAAGATGTCATTTATCGTATTTCTTAATTTTTTGTGAGTGTGGTTTTGTTTTGAAAGCATTGGACAGTGCTGTACTTTTTGCCGACGTCAGAAAAGCACTCTTCAGATTTGAACATTTTGTTGGGTAGAACACTGAGTCGGTGCTCAGTTTATTTCTGATACTCACATTGGGAATAAAGCCTGGAGGAAGCAGTTTGCTGAGCACAGCGTCCCAGTTGACATCTGACATGTAGTCCAGATCCTGCAGCTCTGCTAGACAGGAAATGCGATTCTGGACATCTATGCAAAGCAACTGAGGGAGACAAAAGGATTAGAGTAATAACAATTGTCCACGGGGAGGCATGGCAGAAAAGTTGGAGGCTTAGTCCCACTGAGACAACAGCACATGTTTGCCCTAAAGGATGTGAATGAGGATACAGCGATGAAGAGGATGGGGGTGGAAGACTTTAAAGGAAAGGAGAATAGAGGATGGAGAGAGAGGGAGGGGAAAGCAAAGGAGGAAAAGTTAATGACGAAAGTATAGGAAGGAAATGGTGTTGAGGAAGATTGAAGGGGTCGTGAAGTGTGAAGGACAAATATATGGAGCATGGAATTCTCCCCTTACATTCTCACTTTCTTTACATCTCTCTCTCTCTCTCTTTAACTCTCCTTTTTCACACACTCTCTCTTTCACTCCCACACACACATACACACATGCCACTGGAATGCCAATGAGGTTCAGGGAGTCTGAGCACGAAGCAATGCAACAGTTTGACTGCAGTGGATCGCTGCCAAGACAAAACCCAAATACTACAGCAACAGTGTGTCTGTTAGCTTTGCCAGTGGCTTAATTGAAACAAAAATAACACTCTTTGGCAGTTAATTATGCATAGGCTGTTAAGATCTAAGGATATGCTAATATACAAGCTTAAATGAAAATACTTCTAAATGATTGTAATTAAGGAGTAAAATGAACACTCACTTTTTCCAGTGCCAAGATGTGTACTGCCCTGTGTGTTTACACTGTACCTTTACATCATATAACAATAATACAATGAGTCACAGTTCTTCACTAACAATGTATTTTTTTTAATACTGATTCATCTAGATTTTAATCATTCTAAAGCAGCACTGCCAGACTTGCTTTGCTTGCGTGTACAACACTAGAATACACAGTAGGGCTGCAATAATTAAAGTTACCCTAATTAAGATTCTGGAGATGTACTTTGTGTGCCCAAATTAAATGCTGGTGTCAGGTATGGATAGTTATATTCCCACTGGAACTAAAGGATTCAAGCTGAAGAGCAAAATCCCCCCAAAAGTACTGTAGCAGAGGGGCCACTTAGATTAAAAGCTATACTCATCAAGATTAGCCCATTGCTAACTATTTATTACAACAGTACAGTTGTCAGATTGGTCAACATTTTCCATGTCATTTTACAGTATTGTAGTATTGAGTAGTGTGGTTTTGGCTTTTTGCCACCAGGCATAATCTATGTGAGAAGTTGGCAAGTGCAGTTTGAAATAAATGACCAGTTCATTCTGGAGGCGTGGTGGACCAAATTCTAAGAACTATCTGTTGTACAATATGACACCCCCACCCACCCAGTTTGGACAGAGATCAGCCCTACACTACAAAATCATGGGGGGGTAGTCATTCCATGTCCTGAGCTTAAGATGGAAGGCACATATTGTACACTGTACACGCCATATTTATTATGTAGGAGTGGCGGATAAGTCGTTGTCAGTTCACATGGGGAAGACATATTAACAACAACACTGAAAGGCAGACATTTGACATATTACTGAAGGGATGAAGAGAAACGGCATTAACTAATACGTGATAATCAAATAAACTTGTTTTTTTAATAAAGCATGTATAGGGCCAGACTCAGATGCTGCTCAGTGTGGTTTTACTAGATGTCAAACAATACTTTTACAGTAATTTATTAACATTTTCGCACACATGGAAAAATCCACCCCCTGCCCTGGTTGTACAGATCGTTGTTGAGTCCAATGGCCTTTGGGAAGTAATTTTAGTTTTGATCTGTACATGAGTGGTGGTAGGAGGATAAGTATAAAGTGAAAAAAGGAGAGATCCATCTGCTCCTACAGTATATTGTGCGTTATGCATATGTGACACGCCACTCGGTTACCTTTCTGAGTAGAGACTTCATCTCCAAAGACCAGGCTGCTTGGTAGCTGGGATGGACCTTGTGAAAGGTCTGCAGGATCTCATTAGCCGGTGTACTGGATCTCATCACATATGGTCTCTGAAAAGAAGGGAGGAGAGGAGACAATATGTTACAGAAAGCTTGTGTTCATAGTCAGGAGGAGTTTGTTTCATAACAGTCTCAACGTTTGTTATAGAGTTAGCCCTATCTACACTCTGTTCTTCCTATGCTGTACTCGCCCTCTGTGAACCCATTTCCTGCACTGATGAGAACAAATGATAGAAGAAACAGAGAATAATGGACCCTTCTCCAAGAACTACAGTACAACTCTTTGCTTTTGATTGTGAGTGGGCAATTTGTGGGTCAGAAAACAAGGAAAAGCCTGTTGAAAGTTCTTATCACCAGTCCTTCCCCACTCTCGAGTCTGGGACGGAAAGACTCCTCTAACTCGAGTTGGAGAATGTCAAGACACAGCTGGGTCAGACTGGTTGAAGGTGGACAGTCCTTCCCTTTGCCTGCGTCTCCCACATTGTTTGTTTACAATACAACCCTGACCCTGGTTAGTGAGAGAAGGGTCCATCTTCTCAGCAGAGCATGAATGAAGTAAGATGTGGTTACTGGAGCTTAGGAAGAAACATGATAAAGTAAAGGCTGAGAAGGGATGAAAAGGCGCCTGGAGCTGGATAACAGTGAGCTAGCACTCCATTTTCAACAGCCAAATCATTCTGCAGGCTGGTATTTAATGCCCTGAGACTGATTTATACTTTATAGATGATACAACATTTGGTTGAGTGAAAGAAAAGTCTTGAAAGGTGTAGTAGAAAGTCCCTAGGATACAGAGGGACGAAGTGAAAATAAATGTTTTGGGAGACAGTGAGGAGTGCAGAGAGAGGGGTGAAAGAAAGTTTAGGAGAGGGAACTTATGAAAAGGGGCTAACGTCTCTGTCACTCTGGTTAATTTCCGGCTGTTTAAGTGTACGCTCGGCAATACTTTCTTGAACGTTGAAAGTTCTTGAAAAATCACAGGACACAGCTTTCAGGTAAGAGAGAAGACTTGTGTAGGTGTGATGCAGCTTTGAGGTTAGAAAGAGGACAGAACATAAGCTGTTCATTGGAAGGTTTTTGCTCAAATAAAGCCTTTTCAGTGGGAGTAAGATATAACAGAAAGGACAGAATGTATATTAGAAAGACAGACAGAAAGTCTTTGGGTAAAATAACTGTCAACGGTTTTATGGATGAGGTTGAAAGTGAGAGCACTTCAATGTTGCAATAGGAGAATTGATTTTAGGATCACTTGATGATAGCTCCAGATCAGTTTCAGGTGTTCTGGGTCCTTGTCAGTGTAGACAGAGGGTACTGTAGTTTGAGTAATCACCATCCTGAAACATGAGAGAACATTCTGGAGCTGCAGCCTAAGTTGAGTCCTAAATATACAGACTGTTGTCTAAGACTCTGCCAGATATAGCTGGGGTATTGAGTGGAAGCATTATACCCTGTGTTTATTTTCATGACATCAGAATTGAACTTCTTCAAATGGCACCAGCATGAAATAAATAAATAATACTTTTAAAAAATCAATTCCAATTATGTGGCTAGCTCTATTTTCTTATTCTCCTGAACCGAATTGTCTCTCACCATGACTAAACATTTGAACATTATCCTCCACAGTAAGGTTAGCTTGAACTTAAAATTCAATTAAAACGTCACCCCTGCTTTATTTTGTCAAGGCTCAGGCAAATGACTCGCGAATCAATAACACTATTTTAGGTGTCATGTATTATTCACTGCAGTAAAGTGTGCAAGGCCATGCTGAAGTGAATTGCGATATAAACAACAGGATATTACTCTGGCCTTATTCAGACCTAGCATTAATATCAGTCTTTTGTGATGTGGTCAAAAGTGGACAACTCGGAAGTATGTCAGTTGACAACTAGCAATAGAATTTGTTTCCATTTCATGTGATAGTTCCCACATAAACTAAACATTATATACAGTGTTTGTCTGTGTGTCGATAAGGCGTTCTTTTCTTCACTGGACAACGATATGTGTTTGGTAAGTTTGGATATTTGGGTACATTTTGTAATGAAACCAAAGATCTTGGTGGTTTATGTGACATAAGAAATACATCAAAAAGACTTTTCTTTCAAAAAAAAAATGAACAGAAGAATATTCTACCCCTCCCGACGTCATGGACAAAGCCAGGGAGTTGTCGTTTAGTTTTTCCCATGCCTAGAACATCAGTTGAGTAGGAAACCCTTTAATGTGGCCGAGGACACATTTACTAGACACTGCTTTAAGAGTGTCGCCCTATGCTGCCTAGACCACCCCAAAACGGGGTCTCTTGGGTGCATTCACACTTTTACTTTGAACTGAAAGCTTGTGATCTCTTAAAAAAGGATGCATGTTCATGCCAAATCAGAACAGGGCCTCTGGGTGTGTCTCTTAAGCTCCTTTCATTAACACACTCCAACCTTGAAATGATCTAGACATTATCAGAATGTGGGAAAGCAAACGTCAAAAATCAGTTGAACACTGATGTTTAGCGGATGTAACCGAACTAACTTCCAAGTACCAAGTCTGTGTAATCGATCGAGCCCATGTGTGAATACAGCTGCTCATTCGCCAGAGAATTTAAAGGTCCCCTATTATACTGTTTTTCATTATTATAGTTCTCAGATATATACAAACATGTCTCTGAAGTGTTTTGCTCGAAATACCAAACAGATCATGCATTGTAGCATCCCATAAACCCCTCTGTTTCAGCCCTGTTTCAAAAGTGCTGATTCTCTGTCTGTTACTTTAGATGAAAATAAGGAGCCACTCCCCACGCCCCTCTGAGAGATATTTGGTTAAAAATACACAATGGTGCTCTAGGAGGAGATTCAGGTGATAAGGTGGGCGGGTGTTACCTTGGTTGGTTATTGGCTAATGGTTACACAAGCAAAAAAATCATTATGACATCATAAAGTGGCCAAAATCTGATCAGCTCATTTTCAGACAGGTTTTTATATAAATGGATCAGGACAAAAAGTGAGCGAATATTTTTTCCTGAAACTTTCAGAATCTCTTTACACAGAGGGGACACATGTGTATGTATAAAAGACATGAGAAAGTGGATTTTGCATAATAGGTGACCTTTAAAGTGGAAGTGTTGATGACGTTCATATGACGAAATGGCGTTAGTTACCTGTCCTCTTAGTAGCTCATAAGCTGTGACGCCCAGCGACCACCAGTCGACCGAGAAGGAGTAGCCGGGATGGGACCCCTCGAAGGTTTGGAACAGCTCAGGAGCTGATGGAAAAAAATATATACCAGAAAGTTAAATGATAGTATATTTCTTAGTGTGTGTTTGTTTTAAGGGGCTTTACTCAGGGAGAGTGTATTTTAACTATAGCCCTTTCAGACATGGAATACATAACATAGCTGGCTTCACCCCTCTTTTAAAGTCTTGTCTCTTTGTAATTCAGACACAGTCCTTCTTACATAAATGTTCCATAATGTCTGTATTCAGGCATACTGTAGCAGAACTGTTGCAGAAGGAGTTGAATAGTGATAGACTTTAAAACCTGCTTTGCAGTTGAAGAAGTCTTAATTAATGACCATCATTACTGCGCTGGACACTCATTCCCTCTTCTCACAGTGAATGCCCTCATGAATGTTCTCATCAGGTTTATCATCAGATGCAATTGCCATAGATTAAGGCTGAAATAATAGCTTGGGAGTACTTTGGATGTTGGAAGTGTTACAGAAGTGTTACCAGGCCAAACCCAGTCAGATAATCGTTTATGTACAAAGATATTTGGGTGTTTATTCATACACAAGACTGATGTGTAAAGTTGCTGTGACATTTAAATAACAAGTTGCATGTATTGGGTTTATAGCACGAGCTGTACAGAATATGTAAGACCTGTTGTAACTTCAGCTTCTTCTGAAAAGCTGACGGCAAACTATTACACAGAATAGGAAACATCTGAAATAAAAATAACATACATTTCTCCCTTTTTGCCACAGGCAGGTATTGATAATCAGTATCTTATCTGAGCCAATGTAGAATTATAATGAATTTTTTATGAATCATTGATGAGACAAGTTTTTCTGTTATTGAGGAGCTATCAACACCTTTACATTGGCTGGTTAGGTTTTTCTACCTCCTGAGGAAATGAATAATCTATTATAGGGAAAAGGTGGTTCAACTGTAATCTGGTTTTAAATGGCCAAGATGAATTTTCATCACACATCACTTCTTCTTTATCTGCATTACACTGTCAACAATCTTAACTGAGAGAAAGCATACATACTCAGGAACACACACACACACACACACACACACACACACACACACACACACACACACACACACACACACACACACACACACACACACACACACACACACACACACACACACACACACACACACACACACACACACACACACACCCTCTTTTCTGCCATCAGGTTTGCTTTGTTCCCTTGCTGAAGAGGAACAAGTTTAGTTTATTCACTGAAGCTTCTGAAAGAGTCATGATTTCCTTCTTCCAAGTGTACCCATAAATTATCTATTAGACTACAGAGTATTTGCCTGAAATCACACTTAGTTACAAAGTCATTTTCTATCATGAGCGCACACTTAACAACAGGCGCATGCACACACACGCCCGCGCTGTCTCGTCATTCATTTCCCCCTGAAATCCTGTTAAGCTCCTATCTGATCTCTGAGGAGCTGAATCCACATCAACATCACTTCTGTATTTAAGAGTCATGAAGAGGGCGATGCAGCGTTGCTGAAAATGTTGGTTTCTAAAGGCAATATCTAAAATGTTAACACTACCCTAAGGTTTCCGACTCATGCATTCAAGTTCAACAAAGATGTATACTCTATTTGGGAACAGAAGAAAGGCACATACAAAAGGGGAATGTATCAATATTATCTTTATCCAAGCTAATAATTGTAACATAAAAGGCCTCCTAAGCATTATTTATTCATTAAGCTCCCTAAGCCTTCAACCTTCACTTTGTGCCTCACAACAAAGTACTAGCATTTTTGGTCAATAACCAGCCACTTATTTGTAGCTGTGTCTTGTTCCTGGCAATGGGGCGGCAAATATTGACAAAAGTCAAACTCTGTGAACTTGGCTTTATGGTTTTTAAACGGAAAAAATATATCATGCCAAGTGACTGCATTGAACAGGAGCATTTTCTACTTTTCTTCTTAAAGCTCAAAAGTATTTCTTATGTGTCTGTCAATCCATCATTCATTCCTTCATTATTTTTAAATGACTCTTGAATCAATCATTTTGTATTTGAAACTGTAGACATAATCATAACCTGAATCTGTTCTTAGTGTTGGCCCCTCACATCAAGTGATGAATGAACAGTAAAAAGTCTCAAAACAGCAAAAGGAGGATGCTTCCTCCAGTGAAAGGAAGCTGGGCTTAACAAAGTTAGTCTCCTCGTTGTCATTGGAAACATAAGCATCCTCTGTGGAGTTTATCTTGTTACGTCCCTTCATTTCTGTACAGCACATCGTTTCAAACTGTTTCCTTTAGCTTCTGTTTTAAATAATGTGTTTTCTTACCCATGTATGGCTTGGTCCCAGCAATGGACGTCGCTTTCAGGTCTTCTTTTACGATGGCTGCGATGTTGAAGTCTGTCAGATGGACGTGCCCTGTAGAACAGAGGGACGATATTAACTCAAAAGAACACAGACCATTCTCACTAAATCCTAAAGTGTCACAGATCACAGAGCTCTACGAACACCATCAGTATGAAGTTTACGCTTTTTACTTTGTAATTACAGTCAATTCAACCCCAGCTCACACATAGCCAGACTTTAGGCTGCTTATGTGAGCGTTAGAGATGCAAAAATCAGGATCATAGGATTTTACAACAAAACGTAATCCATTCAAATAACACGTTTGCCTAAAGCTCACCTGCAATCATGACGCTGCCACACTGATATCATTAAAGGGCATCAAAGGCAAATCATCTGTAGATTTATTTATTTATTATATATGGAATAAAATGTGTGTTGTTGATTATGTTGTGACGGAGCTGAAAAGGTGTTTAAGCAGGAACCCTCTGTGGTTTCAAAGTCAAACCATTGACCTGTGTCTCGCCGTGCTGCAATATGGTCTTCTGCATGCACACTGAGCACACATTAATGAGCTCAATGTATGTGTGTGTGTGGGGGTTTGAGAGAGTGTGTGTGCTTCATACTGAGTTTTTGCCGCAGAGTGATTGTTTGGATGAAAGGATGTCCCCACTAACCACAGGAACGTGTGGTAAGTCCACACATATAGGCTGAACAGACATACTGTACACTTTTTTTTTAAAGGCAGAAACAAACACAAATAACTGTGTGACTATTAAGCAGAGACAAGCTGGCCACAATCTCTACAGATAAGAGAACACAAATCTCCCTTTCCCTCATTCAATGGTTCCTAACTCTCCATTATCAAACCTTTTCTTTATGTCTTTTATATTCCACCGTTTCACTATTCCTTGTGGCCTCCCACATATTCCCTCTAGCTTCGTGTTTTAATTTTCTTTTCCATCCATAAACCCTACATCTCATGCCTGTTACTTTATGGTCATGCCCCTCTACCCCTCTGTGTCCTTTACCGTTTGAAATACGCCTGCATGCATTACTCAAAGCTGTGGTGTATGGGTGTAGCCGTGCAGTGAGAGGGGGGGTGCTTTGAGGGGACCATTGTTAATGCAGCCCGATGACTGTGACAAAGGTGCAGCAGGGCTGAAGCGTCCGACTTTAAGTGAAGCTTGAGTAAGAGAAGAATTTATTTTCTCATATTTAATAATGTCTCCTGTCTCTGTTGCATACTTATCTTCCTTTTTTTCTTTTTTTCTGAGATTTGGAGAAGACAGATTTAGGACAGGAGTTTTACACGGTAGTCAGCAGGAGGAAATGAGAAACCATAGGCTGCTGGGCCAGAAGTATCAAGTAGTAAAATAAAATGCTTAAACGTTTTACCTGGTGCACTGTAACTAGACATACAGCCTCTGGTGATCAATACAAGGCTTTCAGACTCCTGGGTTTGCTCTTGAATAATGAATTGTTCATTTCCAATAGTAAGAATAAGAGTGAGTGTATTTGTAGTGTAGTTTAAGAGAGGGCATATACGGTTGTAACAGGACACACATTGCGAGTCAGAGAGATGGAATTAGTAAGAGAGAGATTAAGAGATGAGCTATGACACAGTTTTCAAATCTGCAATATGGAAAATGTAAATCACAGTGGCGTTCTCAGAATACTTGTTGGCTACAGTAAATGGCTGTTTAGACATTGCTTCCTGACTGGTGGGACCCATTGTCATTGAATCAAAGTGGAGGACAGGGAGAGTGCTTTGATTTTAAAGTACCAATTCTCACTATAGAGTGACCATCTGCCACTGTCAGCCTTTGTGACGTCAAATATTTAAATGAAGGCTATAGGCTGAAAATGTCTTCTGCGGTTTTTGTTTTTTTGTCTTGTTCCTTTTACCGTTTAGGATATAAACATGTTATTTTGGGTCAAAGCGGTGTTTTAGAGTGCCTGAATATGACTGGATTATCTGCTTTTGAATGATATTAATGTTTTTAAGCCTTAATTACAGTTCTTTGTTGCATTTTATTTTTTTAAATCCAAGCTTCTATTTGACTCTTTTTATGGAGACCATTCACTATGTGTGTGCTCTAAATGATAGCATCACATTGAAATGTGTCAAATAACACATGTAGGTCAGAGTGGTACTATTCTCTCAAATTCCAACTAAAGGTTTTGATTTAAAACCTTTAGTCAGTAAATGAAATTAACCCCTGCTTGTCTGCAGTCAAACTGTTCCCTGCGTGTGAGATTGGTGTGTGATGGCTGAGCGATGGTACAGCAGGTTCCCTGGTGACTGAGTTATCTAATGTGTTCTACTGGAATTACGTACACAACTGTCAGGGGTTTGATCCTTAGGTTATGTCACGCTACTGCATGTCTCTTCTATTTTTAATTATCTTGTCACTATCTCAAAACACCCGCACAACTCAGGACAAATGTGTTACATACATGAGTATTTTAAGACTTTTGAACAGGAATACAGAAGCTTTATGTAACATGACTAAAACTACATTGGCGTGTTATATGAAGCAGGATGAAATGAAGCCACAGAACTCTCCAATGCATTGTTAACACCGTGTTAGCCTGCATGTATTGTTCCTATGAATTTCAAATTGTTGTTTTTGTTGTTAAAAGCTATACTCCGTATTTTTAAGACTTTTCCCATGAGTGTGTATGAGCCAAACATATGCACTAACACTGCAGTTCATCAGTTAGAGAGTAAAGGACAGAGCTGTGGTTTTACTTACAATATCGACTTAATGTACCGCATGCTTTTAAAGCATACGTACAGGCTCACAGTGGATAACAAACAGCCTCTTGGAGCTTCTCTCAGCAATGTGGGGCCATAACATTTAACAAAGCAACATTGCACGTGCGTGAGCAAATTGTTTTTGTCTCCATAAAGCAGCTCCCAGAGGAACGCCTGAGCAACGGATCAATTTCCAGGTTGCAAAATTGACATGGTTTGCAAAAGCAACCTCCCCCCGTTGTTTTAGCCTTAAGTGGTGAGGTAAACTAAATATCTGCATAGGATGAAAAAGTGCGAGTAGAATGCATGATGAGGAAATAACTGTTTATTTAGTTTGCAAGGACAGGCAAGCATGCAGAGAGAGAGAGAGAGAGAGAGAGAGAGAGCGATAAAGCTAAGGTGAGCGTCTGTTGTCCTGTGGAAATCAGGATGACAAGGCTGCCTTTCTCCATCTTCTCCCTCTTTATCGCTCATATCTCATTCTCTCTGTGTCTACCCTGTTCTCCCTCCTTTGTCAAATCTGTTTTTTCCAGAAATGTTTGCTCATCACTTTCCTCTTTCTTGTCATGTCCTCGTGGCCCTCCCTGTTATTCTCGCTCTGTTTTGCATCTCAGCCCTCTCTTCCTCTCTCTCCGTCTGTCGCTCTTTTGTCTGCTTCCATTTTGTAGCGACAGCAGGCCTGCCATCCCACATATCCCCTTAGCAGCTGCCCAGTAACCTCCAAGGTCTCAGGACTTTAGTGAGTGTGTTTGTGTGTATGTAAAACATTTCTGAAAACTTTTGGTCTTGGGTTGTTCTTTCAAGGTCAGGCCAAAACGGTTAAGTTCTAACAAACAAATATCTGAATGCTAAATATCACAACATTGTTTATGCATTAGAATTTCAACAGCTCATAAATAAATGTACTACACAACGTGATCATGTTGCAACATTTTCAGGAAAGCGCGGAACATACTGTAACCTAGACTCTCTTGTCGGAGTAAATATAGATTTGAGACCTTTTCGGTAATACTCAATTACTCTTTTTGACTTTTGACAAATGTCTTCAATTCTTTATTTCATTGCCGGAAGAGCACAGCTGTTGTTCAGAAGCTGTAGCACACCCTTCTAGTTTAATGTGCACCTATGTAATTTAAACTTTAAAGTTAATTCTCAAAGAGTCTTTCACTTCGAATGTCTGTATTCAGCAGATGGAGAGTTAATTCAAGGTTTAGTCTTGTGTTATAACATTTATGAAATACCGTATATGTCAGCATAAATTGCTGAATCACTGTTTAACCATCTGTTTTATGAAGCAGGGCGTTCCAACCTTTCAACTCAAGTGAATGTTCAGTTACAGGTTTAGATAACCTTTTCATGTCTTCATTTTGAGATTTGTTGCTATCTGGTTCTGACTAGATTCTGTTTTTTCAGAGAAAAGAGGGCTTAGAACCTATCTTATCTGGGCAGAGAGGGTATAACGGGGCTATTGGAAGTGTGCTGTCAAGCTGACACTATACTTTATTAGAAGTGTGGAGTCGGCTTCCTGGTGCCAGTGCCAGTGCTGTAATAAAGTACCTACTTACAGGACAACAGAGATGGTCCATGAGCTTTTCTATCCATTGTAGCCCAACTGATTATCATGAATATCAGGCAATGCTTTGTTATATGTATGAACTTCGTTCATTATGTTCCTAGTAAAGTGTGTAGTGATGGGAAAAGTTGGCTTTTTTGTGAAATAAGGTTTCTGCTTTCTTGCGAAGCGTTACATGATAAGATTAACCACCACTCTCATATCTATACTACAGTAATATACAGCGGCTTAGCTTGGTGAAAAAAGACCAGAAACACGGGGACATTTATATTTCTGTACAAAGGTAACAAAATCCACCTACCATCACCTATAAAGCTCACTAAGCCAGTAACAGTTTTGCCACGGTATGACGTTACTACATAAACAAGTTGGAATAAAGCCATTATAACGATATGAATTTGTCCGTGAACGATATAATATAAATAATACCCCTGCACGCCAGAATATTTCCTATGTGCAGGAACTTCCTAGAGTGTTTTTGTCTCTGTGAGGTTGCCAGGCAGTCAGCTTAGACTACTTTTAAACAACAAGTATGTGAAGGATTTCCCTCTAAGTAAAAGCCACAAGGACAGTTTCAAAGTAGTTGTATTGCACACTGTTCTCTCTGTCGTGTTGGTCATTGTATGTGTGGTAATGTGCATTTGTCTGCTGGTTTGATACTGTAACTGACATGAAAGCCTCTGATGAAACCTAATCAATCATTCAGAGCATGATTTTAACTCACAGCAGAGAAGCAGACATCATTAATATCATGCCGTCCTTCTCACACACTGTTACATCACTCTGTCTTATTTCATCCAATATTTCAGTGGGAAAGAACACCATGTTAATGTCACAGTGCTTCAACCCAATGCAGACTGGCAGTGTGGGCAGAAAAAAGTCGACTTCTTTTCAATGTTGCAATTCTTAAAATACGGTATAAGGTATTTTTTATGCTGCAAGCCCTATCTGTGTAACCTGCCTCTGAGCATTGCATCTCTTTTTGATGTTTGCAGAAGTGATCCCATGGGTTGGAGGTTCAATAAAATCCTTAGTCAGGAGATGTTCAGTCTTGAATTTAGAAAAGCAAGTCAGGTCTCTGTGTGTCAGTCAAATGGTATCATGATATGTCAACCATCAGGTACCAAAACTCAAACAAATCTTATTGTCACAGTCTTTAAATTCCAAACCTGATCCCAACATGAGTGAATTGAAAATACAATTAGAGAAGGGATCTTACCATGTTCATCCAAGAGTATGTTGTCAGGTTTGATGTCTCTGAAAGGGAAAACAGTTCAGTTGGATTAGTATGTTTCCCTGTATATTTGTGGTTTTATGTAGAAAGTAAAACCAGAATCAGATTGTATTTGTCATTCATGAACAGATATTTGAAATTCTTATTCATATTGTTTGGAGAACAAGCAGTACTGGGATTTGCACATTGCTTTTAGTAGAATACAGTCCGTGCCAGAGTCTTAAGGCTACAGCAGTTAAAATGTGTAAAGTAAGAATATGAAAAAAGCCAGTCTAGTATAATTAGTTAATACCTAAGCATTCTTGATATGTATCAAGCTTAAACCTTGGTAATCCAATGCAAAGAAGCCCAGTTTGGTCTTTACGGCTTTTTCTCATGACTCAAAATGGATTATAAACTATTTAGTATGAGGTAACAGTACAATGCTGTTCCTGTGGGCGTGGAAGATTGGTTATCTTTGTTACATAATTACTTTGACATTGTAGACCATCCCTTTTAGTTAAAGTAGGTAGAAAATGCAAGGTTTTAGTTGCCTAAATATAAGCATGACATGACACATCATAAAACATTCATACAAGTTGTTTTTGGATAAGTTGAATGCACTGACATTTATTATACATGCCTGCTTATTTGTTTAAGTATGCAAATGTTTAGCGACACCATAAGACAGCCAGAGGAATTATTTAACACGGCAACTAAATATATGAAAATTCTGCCAGTGGTGACAGACTGAAATGACGCCATTAGTAACACAAGTCTCATCAAATCATCTCACATCTGGTCCCATGAGATTCATTATGGGAAATGTGCTTTAGAGTAGTAATCTTCAAGATCCTTCATTTTGGCTTGTGGTAAAATCTATAATGATAAGCACATATTGTTTCAGCAGCGCTCAGTCCACCTGTGACTCAAACCCTGTGGGTGGTACTTCATGTCTCATTTACCACTGATGACGCTTGAGTTTCTCCAGGTGGCACCCTCATCTTTTTCTGTCCTTCCCTGGAGGTTACATTGCTCATATCAGTTTCCTAGTTCTTCTTCTACTTGTTCTTAACAAACCACTTTTTATACTGCTGAAGTAAACAAAACTCCTCCTGTGTGTCAAAAGTCTTACCGAAAGAACTACGTGCTCAGATCATCAAATTCAAAAGCTTCCCGGAGGTGAATGTACAAGTAGGCTGACTCATTCATTTCACTTCAGGAAAACACAAAAATGGACATAATACAGTAGATCGAACCATTAAATGGTACTCTGCTGCACTCCTTCACCAGGTGGGGAAAACAAATGGAAAAAGAGATAGGGCAGCAGGTTAGGCTGTGGGAGTGGATTAGAAACATGAGAAGAGGAGCAGGTGTAGACTGAAGCTCTTACTGAGGGCACCGCTTCTGCGTCATCTTTTTTTTCCAGTTTTTCTCCGTTTTTAAACAGATGTTTTGTCTGCACCTATCTTCTTTCTTTAGATTTGTACACATCAAATCCAAATGGCATCCGGAACCAAACCATTCACTCCAAGTTGTTTTTTTCCAAGTTGTTTTTGGAAGCAGAAAACCAGCTGTACACTTGAATATGTATTTGCTCTGGTTTTAAGACTTCAGTAACTACTTACTTGTTCCTTATTGGAAACAGTGTAGGATTAATGGATTACATTTTCAATAAAATGACATTTAGTTTCCTTACAAACATTTACACAGTCTTTTTGAAATCGTCATAGCCCAGTTCGTGTTTGATTTACTGCATTCCTTTTTCCATTTTCCATCCAGCTACTTCTGGATGTCTTTGTTTGTTGTTTTGATGACACATTTGTGGATTGTTGTTCAATTCCCTCCTTTCTGAATCTTCTCATAAAACGAATGCACTAGGGATAGTCTATTGATTTATCTGCTTTGTAGCGGAACCATAAAAAGTGAATAATAGAGACAATACATTTTCTCAACAGATGTCAAAGCCACACATTCTGTGGATTCCCAAATTGTTACAAAGTGTCATAAAGGCACCAGTGATAATACAAAGGTCCCAGCTGACCTGATCAGCTGATACGAAGAACAGTTCAGAGCTCAGTGACATCCCTCCTGGCTGTTCATTTTTAATTCAAAGCTAAATTATTCTCTTCTTTCTTCTTATTTCCGCTGATCTTTATCTGCCCTTGAAACGTTCTCTTTCTTGTATGACCTAACACTGTCTTTGCCACTCGGGTTATTCCTTATAACATACGCACTTGCAGTTATTTTAACATTTCACCTTTTTAGTCTCCACCACTGCCCACTGACACACACAGACATGCCTTTACCACACAATTCAAGTTTTAGAGACTGTCAGACTCTGATATTTATTATATTTTCAAAGATTTGTATTTAAGAGTTCTTTCATCCTTCAGTAGTTGAAAGGCTCGGTGTGGTTTTCGCTCCTTTTTGTTCTAGCTTCTCTGGAACGTGACCCCACAGATGTAAAGATGCTTTGAACTGGAGAGACAATATTTAATATTCAGAGCCCCTCTCAGATGTTCCACTTGTGCATGATGGTCAAATGCAGTGCTTATTTTTAAATTGACATCAACATTAACGAACGATGACAGTTTAAATTGTTAATACATTAGCAGTGAGTGAAGTTAATGTGCTTTTTTTCAAGATCATGTTTAAAATATGACTGAAATTGTAATCAGGCCAGCAGGGGATTTCAGTAAACAAAATAATGCGTAATGCAGATACAAAGGTAACAAAATGGGCTTTTAAAAGTATTCATTAACATGCAAAATATAAATCAATATGCTCTCCTCAAGGACACCAGGCTTGAGTCAGACATCAGTAGATTTACATGACATTAAAAAACAAACAAACAAATTCAGACTCGTCAAAACGATTTATGTTTGCCTTTCCACTGTTATTACAATCACCAGCTCTGGTTTGAATGAGAGACTGATTAAGTGAAAATTACATATTTTTTAAAACCTGCTTGCGGTGTTAGGGTATTTCTTTGTACATCCTCAGTGTTAGACAGCAGGTGTCTCCTCTAATTGAGTCCACTGCCCTGTAGGAGCCCAGCAGCATTTAGCATATCAAAGGCCAACCTGCGTTTTGTGTCTGTGTGTGCACAGGTGTGTTTCAGCAACACACTCATGGAGACAACCTGTAGCATGGCGCTTGGCTCTGGGCAGCTTTGGCGGGTTGAATGCGCGGGTGGCCCAGGTGGTGGGGAGAAAGGTCGACCATGTAACCCTTAATTAGCTGACATTTGCGTCAAAGGCTGGCACTAGGGGAGAGAGGAGGGGCACGTGTCACAGCTAAAAAAGCAGAACAAGGAGGCATCTTTTCTAGCTAAAGGCCATGCTGCCATTGTCAAGCCACAGGACAAGAGGAGACAACTGGCTGTAGAGATAAAGCAAAGCAGAAAGCCTCATTAGGAGGTGGCGAGTTGTAAAAGCCACGCTGCTGAGGTAGATGATGATGATGATGATGATGATGATGATGATGATGATGATGATGATGATGATGATGATGATGATGATGACCACTGACCGGGTCTCCTGACAGTGGAGATTAATACCAAAACACTCCTTACCCCTTTAAAGAAATGGGTATAGCCATACTAGTTTGAAACACTAGCTTACACCACCAAGGGTGAGACAGATGGAACATGTCACGAAAGCAGATGTGTCTGAGTGCAAGACATCTGCATTTGCATTAAAAATTCAGTGTGGTTCAACACTGTCAGCTACAGCTCTTGATCACATAATCATGACCTCCTGGTGTCTTCAGATTAACACTTAAGACTGGGAAAGTGACTCTGCAGTAAACTGAAAAAGTGAATGTTGAGCACATTTCAATTTAATATTTGTTGTTTCTGCTAAATTGTACAAGTGTGGGGCTATTGTTTCTACTAATTTTACACTTTCATTATCCATTGAGATTCTAGGAAATGAGGGTTGATCAAAATCGTGTCAGCCTCTCATCAGGGCTCGTGGCATAAGCCTCCTACAGCTTTCTAAACAAACATGGCTTTTCAATGAAATGTTTCACTTGTCTCTGAGTAAACACAGAACAAAGCTGCCTGAAAATGCAATTATTGGCAAACTACAAAGGGATGAAAAATGTTTAACAAGATGCACACAATACGAAAATGAGATTCATTAAAAACATCACTGAAAAAAACGAATGAATAGTCTAAGAAGCCTTGGATTTAAAATGTGTAGCGGTTTTGCATAAAAAAAGTCAATATTTTATAATCCTTATATGTGTGTGGCTTATTCTTACAGTCACAATCAATACTAAGTTTCTCAGTTTAATGATCTATGAATTAAATTATATTAGGAGGTAATTATCCAGCAAAATAAGTCTTTATACCCAAAAAAGAAAGACACAGTGAGAAGTATACAGACAGCTCTGTAATGATGTTGTCTGGCTAATGTGTTTTTGTTCTTTAAAAGACAAAAGTCTTTGGTTGACCCGTGCAATCATTTTGATGACTCATAAATAAACATTATAAACACTTTTGAGAAGGTTTCTTAGAAAGGAATTCCATTGATCCATTTTCCCATTGATAGAACGAAGTTGTTAAATGCAGTGTGAATTGGAAATAGACTTTCTTTACTAAAGCGAAGAGAAGAGTACTTAAAGCTGTCACCTGCTCATTTCAGCTGGCAGTTATGCCCTGTGTTTATTAGCCGGTATAAGTGCTCTGCAGCTTCTATAAGTGAGAGAAACAGATGGGTGTGTGGCCGCCCCGGTCACACGGAGCTGTGTGGAGACGGCCTGCTTGGCGAGGTGACACCTCAACCATCTGCAAGCATTTACCACTTGGAACGGGATGCTTTCAGAGGTGACACAACAAAATGGCGTCTAGATAACACTGTCACAGAGTTGTATGAGATGAAATGTGATGGAAAAAACTATTTGGGGAGATACTCGAATTCAGCTTCTAAACTGAGATCCTGCTCGGGTTCTGACAACCACCAAATCATGACAGCAATTTGTATTCTGTCACTGCAATGCTACACGAAATTGTTCCACTTTTATGTGCCCATCTTGC